AGCCTCCGAAACATTAATATAATGTTATTATTTTATTATTTATATAATCAGCAAATATATTTTAGTATTTTTATTTGACTCGAGTTGATTCGAGTCAAATTTAAGTATAACTCGAGTCGAGTCGAGTTAGAGTTTTAAATTTTTGACTACACTCAACTCAACTCGACTCATTAGGAGCTCTAATGATTGCGTTAACTGCAGATGAATGGTACACTGTCATCCAATCACTTTTGAATGATAAAGCACCAGGACCATCTAAGATTTCTAATGAAATGCTCAAACATCTCAGTCCAAAAACAAGAAAGGCTCTTTAGTATTTCATTTGTGGGTGTCTCAACACATCGCTATTACCACATAGATGAAACTATGTGTTTATTTATCCTATACCTAAATCAAAACCTTGCGAATATGACTTTAATAATACCCGTCCTATCACACTTTTGGAATGTTCGCATAAAGTCCTAATCAAACTACTTAATAGACGTTTGTCAACAATTATAATTTAACATAATGTTCTCAAGTGACTCAATTTTGCGGGACTTTCTTTTAAATCAACATTTGAATTACTATACATTTTAGAAAACGTTAAATATGATGCTAATCACAACAAATGAGATCTCTAAATATTAATGCAAGATATGTTTAAAGCATATGATTGGGTGAACCTATATATGCTCTGTAGAGCAATAGAATGGTTATATATTTCTAACACCTTCATTCATTTCATTATTAAAATGTTTGGCAACCGATTTAACCAGATATTCACACTTTTTGGAAATACCAAAGTGTATAGAGTTCTATCTGGTATTGACCAAGAGGAAATCTTATCACCGCTCTTATGATGCATATATTATGATCCACTTTTCTGTAGGATTCAGAATTCAGAATTAGGGTATTTCTTAACACATAAATGGAAACTAAATGTTCTAATCAATGAGAAAGAATCAAAATCGATCAAAGTTGCAACACTGGCCTATATGGATGATACCTTATGAATTGTGAAATCCCATAATAACCTTTCACGAATTATAAATGTTGCAGACAGTTTTTATAAACTCAATTCTATTAAAGTTAATTAGGACAAATCAGTTCTCCTAATTAACAATAAAAGAATAATCGCCTATTCAGTTGTATAATGAATGATATCTAACACTTATAACACTACTTTTGCATAAAGAATCAACTAGATACTTAGGTGTTTGGATCTCTCTCTTTAGAAACAAACTTCTACATTCAAGATAGTCCTTAACGAAATTAAAAGTGCTATCACTATTATGCTCAATAAGAAATTAACAGACAAACAACTAGTCACAGTTATTATTCCTCGAATTGAATACTGATCTTAGTTGACAGCATTCACTTCACAATAATGTGATAACCTTGTCTCATTATACCATTCCTTCTTAAAAAAAAATTAAATTTACTACAAGCTATCCCATTTTTATCATACACTCTCATCTCTTTTATAACCTCACTAACTTCCACTCACGACAGCTAGAAACACAGAGTGATGCTCTTTTATATTTACTAAATGATTCTAACATTTTAGGCAACTCGACACGAATTTGATTATGTTAACTCCAATAGCTTGAATGGTTACATACTTCTCCACTCGTTGACTAGCCATATTTAAAAAGCACCAAAGTCAATGATTGGTTTTCAAATGTTTTATGGTAATGGAAAAGGTTGAATTTTCATTACAAATTCCTAATGATGATCACCATATCATTAGAGGAGGCTCGACACCTATAAGACAGTTGATACCACAGGATTGCAGAATACTTTTAATTCATCTTAGAAGATACTCGCTAATGTTTGTGGAGCAACTCTCACTCTCAGACGGATATTCTATGCTTAATTTTTATGATTTAGCTGTATTTCAGAATTCGCCAAAGATTGCAAGTGAACCAGCGTGATTTGATTCATTACTAAAACTATTAACAATTGACACAATCTCTAATGAACTAAGACATAAAACACCATATATGAAAAACTATCATTTTGATTTTTCTTCGCCGATAAAAGAAGCGAGAACTAATCCATGTATAATAAGGTGGAATTTGGGTGACAACAAGCCTTTTCTAGGTAAGCTTATCAGAATAAATCCGAACCTTGCAAATGTTATATATATTAATCCAATGATTAGACATAACCAAAGAACATTATTATCACCTTGCAATAGATGCATTTATCATAACCCAATAATCAAGATTCCCCTCAAACTAAAGATAGTGAACATCATTGTTTTTTCACTATCCCTAGAGATTTCTGCTTTATAATTCCTACTTTCTGTAACAATAGTGCTGAAATTTTCCCTTGGTGTTTATGGATATTACCTCTCATTTATGACCTTGCTTTATCATTTATCAATCAACGTAACAATCCTCATCTTCAACTTTCAACAACTTCTTTCACTCCTTATATTCCTCCCTCTTTTATTAAAAAAATTATTTCCACATCTCACTTCGCTACTCTACTAACTTTTCAATCTAATTTTAGTTCTTGCATATTCTTAGAGTTTTATATAGATGGTTCTCTTATTAATCTTGGCAACCCTATACTAAGAATGGAAATGACTTGGTTACAAACAGCTCCCTCTGCACCTCTTTTGCCATACTCATCTGCCATTACTGCATCTTTTCTATCATCATCAACTGCAGAACTAGCTGCTATTTTCACAGCCATTCTTGTAATACCACCTCTTTGTCAAATCAAAATCTATACAGATTTTAGCACAGCGATTTCTCAATTTAACAAGTATAAGTTCTCTCCTTAATTTCACTGTCAGTCACAATATCCGTTCCTAAAGATCACTAATATATATTTATGGTATGGAATCTTTTAAATTATCAATACATTTTCTCTCAAGGTTTTGCTTCACAAAGTCAAAGCGCACACAGGCGATCTTGATAATGAGAAAATCAATAAATTAGCAAAAGCTGCGTTGGCTGCATTGGCCTCTCCAGCATTACACTTCACTGTCAATGACCAACTCTACATCACAATCAAATGTGATAATCTCACTATAGCGACGCTAATACATCCCTTCATCAAAGAATGTATACGTACGCAGATGTTAACATCCTTTCTAAATCTAGATATTAATCATAAATATAGTTTCTCAGAGGTGGATTGGCTTAGTGGATTGGCTTATGACTGCATTTTACCTCGCGAATAATACTTCTTCTTTGACTACCAATTTTATTGCATCCTCAATTAAACGTAAAAAATTACAAAGACTTCTTGAAATGCTGCCAACTTTAGAAGTGCTTAAAATTCATCACCCGGTATTATATGCAGATTCTTGGACTTGCAATAGATGCAACATAGAACCTGAAAACTTCACTCATGTGTGAACGTGTATAACGGTATACCAGCAATTATGTGACATTATTGATACATCAAAATATCATCTAGTGCACAGAACGTAATAAAACGATATTGAGTATATAAATCAACTCCATATATGGTCATTATCAGACCAAACCTCCTTCTCATTTATTGATCTTATCAAAGGAGTTGTTCTGACTAAACTTTTCAAGTTTATCAACTCATCGCTCACTTCACGAGATGATGCTAAAGCAGATACATCCAATTTTATGTATTACATCTTTGATCAAACACAAGTAATTTGACGTGACAGATGCTCACTTTTTAAAGACTTTGAAGCATTTTTCGAGATCACAGATTCATTGAAACAAACACATCATTTCGGTTCACTAATAATACGTCACTTACTTATATTTAACTGCTCTACTTGATTATTCAGGCCGGAGCTAAAAACTCCGGCCAGTATTATCTATAAAGTGAAAACTCTACGATATACACAAATTATTCTAAATAGTAATTACCGATTGTTTCTTATTCATTTTCTTTCTTTTATGCTTTTTTTTATTAAGATAAATAAATATATTTTTTTTTTTATAAAAGTATCATTCAATTCTTATATATTCTCTCATTATTGTTTTGCAATATTTAAAGGAAATACGCAATTGTATGCGAAACCACTTTCGGACTATGAGGCGCCGTCCTTTTCAATATTCCGAGATTCAACCCTCAAGATCCGGGATTGAAAATGCGAAAAATATTAGTTTCCCCTGGATGTTCATCCGGGGTTGAATTATAAATTAATGGATTAATTCCTTAATTTTCATTAGGATAGCATACCACCTCTATAGATATTTCACAAACTGTTTAGAAAATACAAATCTTTCTTTTAATGATCGCTTCTATTAAAATATATTATTTTATTATTTATAAAAAAAAATAAACCAAAATTTTCTTATTATCTTTCGCGATCATCGTTTATAACGGAAATTTTAAGAAAAATAATTGAATCGATAATCAAGAAAAAAAAGATTTTGAACAGGACGGCGCCTCATATCGGATAGTTTCGGTTTCGGATTTGGGCGAAAGGTTTAGGTTTAACCCGAATCATTATTGCAAATCCATCTTTGTATAATTGCACAAATCAGGTTTGCATTGTGTTATGTGAGTGCAAGGTGTAAAATATAAAAAGAAACTTTATTGAATGAAAATGGTCACTTTTTATAATAATATTTATGCGCCATCCATATTCCTAAATAGTAAACGGTTTCGATCTGAAAATTTTATGATCATTCTTTATTCAATTTTAATTGCAGGTGTTACTAAATTTAAATTTCTTTGTAACTTATGCAGGAACAGACAAATAATGTATGACAACAGAACATCGGACATCGGAATAATAAGCGCGTACTTTTTAAAAAAAGTCCGCACGTTTTACGTGAATTATCTACGAAGGCGTAAAAAAATTATCAAAAAAAAAAAAAAAAATTCTGGTAAATAAATCTTGTGGAATTCTCTCAAAAATTACACGAAATTCAAGAACAATCGAATGAAATGAAATTATTTTTTGTAAACAAAAATAATTTTTAATTAAGGTTTTTTTTTGTCGTTGCATGACAAAAATAACTACATTTTTTTTTGCTTAAATATTTGTTATAAAAAACCAGTTGAATATGACATTCCTTCAGGTAATTTTATAAAACCGCAAAAAATAAAAAAACATTCCCATCTATCCCTAAACGAAATCTCAATTTAATCTTAACAAAATAGGAAAAAAAAATTAATGAAAATGAAAACTTTTATGATTATTACACTCGTCTTGTTGCAGGTACGTATTAAATTTGAAATATATTTTCAACATAAAAAAATCTTTAACAAATTTTTCATGAATATTAGTCACTTTTTGCCTTTGCTCAAGAGCTTCCGCCAACAAAATTTAATTTCCATACCGTTAAGGTCCCCGGATACGGAGCATGGGTAAAATGCACTAAATTGCCAACAACATTTATAAGTACGCATCGAAACTTTCCCATTAATTTCGCACTCAATCAATATAGTTACTAAAATTTATTTTGTTTAGGTTATGTTATAAGATGTGTAAATCCAAATGCACAAGTAGACCCAATGAACTACGGTGGTGATTTTTACGATTTAAATACTCCTCAAGCAAATACTAATTTTTATGGAAAATATGGAAAAGGTTTTACTGCTATGACCGTTAATTTTACAGATTATCTTACAGGTTCAGTATGCGGAGAAATAGATACTGAAGGATTTACAAGCGTTGCATACATATGCGAGAAGGATGTCACATCCTCGATACTTGAAAATTGGTGTTTATCGATTTTTAATCCATTTTATAACGATCAAAAGGTCGAAGTCGTTGTTTCGTTTATTGCAAGTGTGTTTGTAGATGGTTCTTATAGAAAAGATCCTAACCAAATCCCAGCCAGCATAAGTAAACAAACATTTTCGATCAACAAAGTTAACAAAAAGAGAAACCTTAGACGTGTCCGTTCACTTCGTCCTTTTTAACTTTCTAAATATTAACTTTCAAATTTACTTAATTTCGGAGACACAATTAATAATTTTGATTCATAATCTAAATAAAGGTTACATAACTTGAATTTAATTTATTTTATACTTGACATATAACGATATAAAAAAATATATTTAATTTTGGATTATTAGTTAGTTTTTAATTGGAAATTAACTACTCCACCAGCTCGAATTATTGAAATTTTTAAGAAATTCTGTTATAGAATTTTAGACAGAAATTTTGTTATAAATAGACTAATGTCGACAGAACAAATAATTGATTGTTCTTTTAGGCCTATTACAAAGCGTATAAAGCGCTGGCTGATTCGTACTTGTTAAATCCTTTTGTTATATTGTTAATATAATCATAATTTTCGAATGTTATAAATTAAAAATTAATATTGCTCTATCTCATAACGATCAGTTCTTTAATACCGCCCGTTTTAATGATATAAGCTATAGATCGTTTATTGGCTTAGGAATAACAAACGAGTATTGCCTCACTTCAGCTCTATGTACTGTACAAATGTTTTAATAAATCAATTAATTGTTTGTTAAGATTATTAGATTATGAACTGCTAGTTAACAATAAACTGTCTAAGAGAAAAATTAATGAAATTAAATTATAAAAAGTACCCGATTATAATTAATGAAAAAAGGGAAAGAAATGATAAAAAACATACAAAAAATAAATATGAAAAATTAAAGCGAAGTAAATCTGAGAATATAACAGTACCTCGATCTTTGCGCCAAAACTGATATAATAAAATAAATAATTTACGTTTTTTTTACGATGCTCATTCACAATTTTTTATAACGCAAACTGTTATTATATGTTTTAAATATTAAAGTAAAATTTATATTTAACAAAGTAAGTAATGAATAAATAGAAGTATCTGAACAAGATGAATATGATGAAAATTCTAAAATTTTATTTCCTTGAAATTAAATTGGACTTAAAAAATTTTATTCCGAACTAATAAACCTGTGATGTTATTCAGACATTTCGGTATCATTTTCCTGGTATCTTTTTTCATTATATTGTAATTGCTCAAAAAATTGTATTTAATAATATTTATTAAATATTTAAAACATAAAGGTTTTTTTATATTGTGCGCTAGTTGATTATTTTAGAAATATTACCAGAAATCCTCATAATTTCATTTTGTTTTCTCTTTTGATACCATTTATAACTAAGGATTAAAGTTATCATCATAATTGCGGTACCAATTACAATATCAGTAGTTTTTGGTTTGATCGAAGTAGTTGGAGTTATAGTTGTTGAGGGAGGCTTAGACATACTTTTTGGTTCAAATTTATCGATCCAAGTATAGTTTCTAGTATCCAGCAAATATACTTTGTTTGACCAAGCAAAATCCGCTAATCCATTTGGATGAGTAAGAAGACCTATATATCCAATAATTATTAATTAAATAAGTCAAATAGGAGTATTAATATTACGTATAATGGATACTTACCAAAGGCAACAATCATATAATTTTCAACTAAATTTGTTGAATGATAAGCAAGTGATGGAAATTCACCAATATTTGATGATGTTTGCGGTACGGTCCATTCATATGGTGTTTTTTGAGTATTCAAAACAATCAGGTCTGGTATGGGTTTAATAGATTTACTACTATTGCCTTTGGACCCACCATTTGTAATTATTTTTTCATCTTGAACTATGTAAAAATTAAAAAAAATTATGTAGATTATGTGAAAATAAAATAATAAACGATAATAAACTATACCTAATACAGCCGAATGACCGTAGGAGATTCAATGTGATTAATACTTCTTGCTCGCTTAAATAAATTTTTGATTTTTAATTGGTTATTTTATGTAAAGAATTATAATAAATGATTTCATATACTCACCATTACTGACCAGTTGTTAAGTTTGGTATCATAAAGGTCGATTTGGTTAATATCTACTTCTCTAGAAATATCATCAATAGGGTATTCTCTACCGAGAATCGAAATTATGTGCAATGGTAAAAGATGTCGAGCCATTCGAATACTCCGTTTAATTAAAAGATTGATTCCTTTTAATACAACTTGCAAACCATTAGTTGGAAATGTGTTTGAATCAACTGTGAAGAAAGCTTCAAACAAAGGAGCAATTCGAAATTAAATTCTCTTGATAATTCAAATCTTTCATAAGTGCCGTCCCAAAAGAATACATAAAAAAAGACGACTACTGATAGATTTATCCGATACATGTTATGTTTGTCAATAAATTTAATATTCGTAACGGTTAAAATTAAGTCATGCTGTTTTAGGATACTATCATAATCTAAAATCGTCCCCTTGATGTTTTAGATTCATAAAAGACATTTAAAAACATATAATCAGTGATTTTATGAATAACTATTACTGCATTAATAAGTACGAGAAAATTAGGCTCATATTAGTGTTAACAAATGACGATAACGATCTCGAATGATCTTAAATGACGGAAATTTGATCAGTGGGATGGGGGGTTATGACATCATCAAGGTATTATCGGGAAAGTAACAATTAGTCACTTATCTGTAAATGCGAGTTTGGAAAAATTAAGATTGTGTTGAGGGTCTAATTTTTTATGACATCAAAATTATGTTAGAGACCTGGTTAAAAATATTGTTTAAGGGTTGAGTAAGACCGGCACTATAAATTTAGCCAGAGCTACCAGTTGACATATTTAGCCGAAATTGAATTTTATATACACACAAGGATGTGTTTTAATGTTCAATCATGAATTTAAAGATGTAACAGAAACCTAATGGAAATTCATTTGATTTTGAATTTTGTATTATTTATTTATTAGCTTTTTATTATATCGCGTATAAATATTTTTTTATTTTTTTAATTTTTTAATTTATAATTCCAAGTGTAATATCGTATCGATACAATGAAAATAGAAAATACTAATTTGTATTCTAGTAAAGTTTTGTAACATTATGAAATTCATCTGTATGAATCTTTTTCAATGTCATAGCATGTACAATAAAAATTATAAAAATTTCAAAACTTTGGATTCAAAGTTCATTAATATTAGAGTAATATTATTTTTGTTTATTTATTAAATATGAAAATGCAAAGTGTTCTATACTTTATAACAAAAGTACAAAATGCTCAAATTTTTTAAAAGATTCCCACATCCGGATAAGTACATCAACACAACAAAAAAATACGATCTTGAAACCAAAGCCGCCATATTAATATAATAAATCTGCAGTATATCTCTGCCTTTTGGACCGAGGTGTAAATTTTGTGTTATATTTTCGCGATTTAACAGCCTCATTAGGTAGTTTAGGTAGCGATGCTTTCAGGCAAGCATTAAACTTCGCTGGACGTCGGTTCAACAACGACTTAATTCGCATCCCGTTCATGCAAATAGTCTCACGAATATAAGTTAATAATTGTAGCGCACTTTCTATATTTGCCTCCTCATCCTTTTCCTGCAAATTAAATGAAATTACCTCATCATCATAAACATAGATGAGTGTTGCCTGTTGCTGATTAAACGCAGGCATCAGCTTACCCAGTCGAATCCTTGTTCCGTTCACTAATCCAACGTGCAAGCATGTTTTATTTATCTCCTCTTCGGATGGATAGTGCATTAAAGACAGGATCCTATTAAATTCGTGTGCTGCTTCTGCAACAATGACTACATCATCTTTATGTACCTCCTGTTCGAATTCAGCTAAAAAGAAAGCAAATTGCAAGTCACTTTTGTTTCTTACAATTGCAGAAAAGTCCGATTTTGCTGAACCTCGCCCACCATTTCCGGGAACTAAGTGGTAGAATTCCCATGCAGTGAAAAATTTTGGGTTATGAAACGAAAATGCATTAAATAAAATGCTTGTCCATAGTTCATGGTTTTCGGATGGTTTGCTTCCAAGACCACGGCATGGTGTAGGTATATATGATATAACCGTTGATAACACAGAGATGCAAGTCAAAGCATCAAGGTAGTAATAACTTCGTGAACGACCCCATAACCAACCAAACCAACTGTTAAATAATGAGGAAGTGACGATTTTGCCCTTCCTTTCTAATGATCGTAACATCGCAATTACAGATTGAATTCGGGAGTCAAAATGCTTTTCAAAGATAGGAGATAGCAACTTTAACTCGATTTGTGGAATCGATATGGTTGCTGGTTTGCGTTCACCTTGCCAGCCTGCATCTTCAAATATTTCGAAATTTATCACTGACCATTCCAACATAGCGAAAGAATGTCGAGCTCGTTGTGAGTCTTCCTCAATGTGAAGATCCTGCATTGCTAAAAGTATTCTGTAATAGTTCGTTAACATCGGATAGGTCACATGATTTCTTTTTCGTTTACGATTCTGACTATCGTTTAAATCAAAGTGTTCATTATCATCGTCACCAATCCCATATTTATCGTCTGCAATTTTATCATCTTCAAATGCGATTTCTTCATCTGCAATTCCATCTTCTGCAATTTCATCATCTGTGCTTGATTGTGATGACGACGTTGCGCACTTCACATATTTAATTTCTCGCTCCTTAATCTATAAAATTATATGAGAGAGGGAAATAATCAGTATACAGAATGAGTCATGAAACACACATACTCCACCAATAGCACGTAGTGGCTGATTGGAACAGTAACTGCTAGTGAGAAGAGGCAAAAGATGGCTCGTGTCTATAACGAATGGTAGCACGCGACAATCTTTGTGGATGCATCCCATCTCAGCCCAAGGGAGAGACTTGCCGGCGAAAGTCGGGTCCGCATGGGGTTCTGCCGAGTAATCACTAACAGAGTGTGTTCATTCTAAGGTAAACAATGATAAAATATATAGAAGGACGTTCACAGTAGGCCGCCCTCCGTACGTCAGGTCTGGCTACCTGACTAGAAGCTTTCGCAAACTGTGGCCGCGGTGTGCTTCCGGTTCTATAATTCTACCAGTCTGCACAAAGAGCACTGACCTTTTTCAACTTATTCCGAAAATTTACTAATTTACATCTTTCATTACTATTTTTATTAAAAACTCGTAAAAGTAAGCCGATATTTTCGTCCAAAGAATTGTAACACTCATCGATTGTTGCATTAAGATTTTTCCTGCGATAATATTCTACCCAAGTTAAGGGATTTCCCCAATATGTATATCGTTGTAACCAATAATCTGAAGGGAATATACATGAAAAGAATCGTCCGTTAATGGTTTGTAAAGTTGTGTATTGAGCAAGGAAGAAACTTACCAGGATATTTAAGTTTTTCAATAGTTTGTTGTGAAATTGCAACCATAGTTGAATATAAGAAATAAACAAACGATAGAAGGAGAAAAGCTAAAGAATGCATCGTGACTTATATAATAGTAATTTACTCTGATAGACTTTTTGTTATGTATGACTCATCGTGGCTATGTTGATCACATTTGTTTATCAACACGTGGATTAAAAATATAATTGGCCCAACTAAATGTAACTTTATTTAATAAATTTTAATTTTTAAAAATAAAAATTTAAAGTAAAATTAATACTAATTATTAATAGAAACAGTTATCAGCTAAAATATTAATAATTAAGTAAAAATTTAATTAAATTTAAATTATAGTAAATAGTATAAATAAATACTGATAATCAATAAAAAATAACTTACTAT